GGCGCGCCCGGGAAGGGGAGGGACGCCAGCAGCTTCATCCCGCTCAGCTGGGACCAGGGAGTCGGAGCGAGATGGCACTCACGCTTCGGAGCCGAGGGCTCAGAGCCGGAGCCGTGCTTGACCCCTTAGTGACAAATCCGGTTTGGTAAGGGAGGCAGAACGGTGATGACATCCCTGACCTGGACTCCCTGGCATGCCCTTCACAGGGTTTCTACACCGGGTGATGCCACCAGCTCCTGTCCTGCCCACCCAGACAAACACCCGGCAGCGGCACTGCCTGCCCCGCTCTCCTGCTCTGTACCCTCAGCCTCTGTGAGACGGGACGAGAAATCCCATCGGGGACCCAGAAACTTCCCTCGAGGGGCCGAGTCTGCTGGACCCGAGAGACACGGACACGCAGGGACACATCCAGACATGCTCCTCGTCTGCACGGTTCCACCCTGCCCAAGAAACCCTCCCCGAAGGATGTTTGCACATCACCTGTCCGAGAGGTTGTTTTGACAAACCTGTGTTTTCCAACACCTTAAAAAAAAAAATAATCCTATTTTAATCCAAGCAGTGTCCACCAGCTCCTGAGGATGGGCTCCGACCTGCAATTCAACTGCCCAGGGAGGGCTTGGAGGAGATTAGAGATAAACTTGGGGCAGAGTCAACATAAAAATACTGTTTCTTCAGTTTTACTTCCTCAAACCTCCGTCCTCCCGGAGGGGCGTTAAAATACAAAAGCACCCAACGTACCTGAAGAGGTTTCTTCTGGTGGTGGGTACCGATGTCCCGCTCAGCGTGCGTGCGTGGGGTGAAGGGGATGCTGGGCACAAATCCAGCTCGTCCCCACCGCCAGAAGCTCCGGGACCTCGGGCACACGGCAGCTGCAACTCGTCCGACAAATCACGAGTCAGGAAATGAGGAAATGCTCTGATTTCATTTTCACTTAGCCAGGCGCTGGGCTTGCCGTGCCGGTCACGGGGTTATTTGAAGCAGGACCCTCAATGCCAGCAGAAAATGATTGCGGATGAGCGTTTCTTATTTCCAGCACCCCACAAATTAGCAGCAGGGCTCTCCCGGTGGTTTACGCGGCTTACGGGGCCAGCAGGCAGGAGCAGGGGTCACGCTCCCCTGATACCTTTTTTTTTTTTTGGCATTTTTGTGGCTTGGTGCTGAGCTGAGAGACAGGATGAGGTCAAGCACGGAGTCTTGCTACTGGTTTGAATGGGTAGACCTGAGCTCCCACCTCACCGCAGCAGTCAACAAACCAGACCAAAGCCAGCTCTTAGGAAAGGAAAAAAAAAAAGATAAATCACATTTATTCACTTTTTGGTGGGGCAGCGCAGTCAGGAAGACATGGTTTAGATACAGTCGTGGGATGGAGCCGAGCTGGCCGCCCTCAGCGTTGCACGCACAGCAGGGGACACATTTAATGCACGTTACGTTGCATTCACACCAAAACCACAGCCGGCAAAGTCGTCAGCTGCCTGGAAACCACGTTCCAGCCTCCGGTCAGGGCATCCTCGGCGTTCCCTCGAAGGACGGCCCCGTGCTCATTTCTCACCACTACGAAGCATCACGGGACGTAAAATGGCTGCAAGAAACCATCTTCGAGAAGAGGAGGAAGCAAAGCAGCATCTCAAGAGCGTTGAAGATGCAGCCGAGTCATTTTCTAAAAAGCTGCCGGAGATTGCAAGAGTTAGCAATGACAACAGAGCGCCTTCACCTAAATAAACGAAATAATTCCCAACAGGTGATCCCTTATTCGTGGATAAGTTCCTGGGGAAGGTGAAAGAGATGGTCGCGCTCGAAGAGACACTTGGACAAGCCAACTGCGATCGCTCCTCCGTAGAAACGCAGCGGGATTCCTCAAGGAGGGAAGGCTGGAGTAGAGCCGGGCACGCTCGAGATCAGCCCGGTGCGTGGTGGCATCTCAAGAGCTTCTCCCGAAGGCAGGGAGCCCCTCTAGATCTGGGGGTAAGCACCGTAGCTGGCAATCCCGCAGTGGTTTCCACGGTTCCTCGCCATCCGGATGTAGCCCTGGTCACCAAAATGTGCCCCCCAGCTTTTGGAAGAAGAAAGAAGTAAAAGTTGGGAAGGAGGCAGATACCTCCTCTTGTCTACCACCCCTCACCCTCACTTTTTTCTCTCCCCACCCCTTTTTTAATATTTTTTTTTCAACTCGTGCTTCCTCCCCACAGGAATAGCCAAATCCCCGTCTTTTGGCCAAAAAGGCTGAACCTCCTGACCGCTCCCCTGCCAGACTTTGCTGCCGCTAGCTCTTCCCAGGGGGGGGCAGAGGAAAATCCCTTCTTTTCTCTGTGCTGGACTGAGTCGAAACCATCAGGGAAATACCAGGTAAAGGTGAATGAATTTGGTTTGTGTATTAAAAATACTGATTTTTTAAAAAAATCCTACCAAGGCCGGAGATGGGACAAAGAGGGGGAAACTGGGGGGGTTTAGCCCAGCCCTGACGCGAAGATAAAGGAGCTTTGTTGGCAGAACTGCCCACCGTTGGGGTTTTTTGCTGTTGTTTTTAAAAAAGATAATGGTTTTCAGTTGCTGAATGTTGCTTTGCTGACATCGCAGGTTTGGGGTTTTTTTTTTTTCCAGCGATGTGTCTGTCCAAGCAGGACTCTCTCATTTCAAAAGTTTGTTTCTTCTTGTTCTGCATTTTAAAGAGTGAAAAACACGCTCACCGATACGTTTTAACGCAAGGG